ACCGTTTGGAATGATCTAAGATGTTCCACACATTGCGCAAGAGCGACTTCAAAGGCTATAACACACGTTGGATTGCTAAAACGTGTTTTCGGATCATTCCAAACAGACCTATTGCCCCGTTTATTAACAACATACATTAGACCACATACCGAGTATTCGACACAGGCTTGGAATCCATGGCTGATTCGCGACCAAAAGGTACTCAAACGTCCGTGAATAACAGCAACCAAATTGATCAGAAGGTTACAATCTAAGACCTACGGTGAAAAGCTGCGAATTCTTAGACTCTATTCGTCTGAATACCGTCGAATACGGGGAGACATGATCCTCGCTTATCAAATACTACATCAATCTAACCACCCGTGTAGTACTCTACTAACACTATCCAGGAATGATCACCTCCGAGGATATCCGTTTAAACTTCTGCTCTAAAAGAGCCGGCTAGATTGCATGCGTCATTCTTTCAGCCTCAGAGTTTGTAACACCTGGAACTCTCTTCCACCTCAAGTTGTTTGAGCACCAACCATCGATTCACTCAAGTCATGACTGAATGAAGCATTGAAACACCTAACTTTTGAGTACTTGTGAGTAAACGTCGGAATTTGCTATTCAATTGTACTACTAGTCGAACCCAGTTTGTACAGACCTATGGGATTCAATAAGCATCAGCTTTGTAATTTACCCATAATAAAAATTTGAATTTGAAAAGTGCATACCGAATGGAACAAGTCCGGCATCCTTCATACATTCGATGAGACAGGTGGATAAATCAGTGGGTATCAAATTACATACTTTTTCTCAATCTGTCTATTCAATGTCAACGCCTCGAGACCACTCGGTGCGTGTCTTAATATTTCGCCTACGACGCAATTTGACGGAAATGGCGAAAGAAGGTACCAATGATAGACGACGTTGCAGGTACTAAACTATCTGGTTAGCTTGCTGTCTATCCCTATCGTGTAAGAAATGTGCGAGTAAAGTTTAATAACACTTCTGGAGCATTCCATTTAACAGATGCAAATGAAAACGAACTTCACCGTCCGCCCAGTGAATCTCACCGGTTAGGTCATGAACCATCACGATCGACAGCCTAGTGTGTGGCACTTCACCCTATGTAAACCTTTCATCAATACTGAGAGAAGATATTATACCCGCCCTTTCTTAGCACACACTGTAAACAGGCGATACAAGCCACTTAACCTGAGATCCGCTGCTTTAAAAGGTCGCTAAACAAAAAAACCGCTGAAATTTGAACTAATACATACAGTATAACCGTTTTGTCGACGAGATCCAGCTAGAATCACGGTAACCGTAAATTTTAGGATTCGACTTTCTGAGAAGTTTTGGATTCGATTGGGAAACTCGGTTACGTATATATTTGGTGAATGATATCATGACCTTGTCGGAGTCCTGGTTGTTTTTCACTATGACCATACTTCTCTACCGAGCACAATCAAGTGTACCGTCGAGATCTAACATATATCACCAATATTTGGCGATAGTGATCTTCCAGGGAAAGTTTCTTTACTAGACATAGTAACTTTGACATTTCCAGGAGTATGTTTTGCTTTAACTAATATCGTGCCTTTATTGAGCTCGGAAAGACCGCACCGGCACATTCTCCCACGGTGAGCTCTGAATCGCACGCTTCCTCTGCACTGATGAAATCTATCGTAACATTTCCGCTGCCGGTGCCAAAATACCAGCCTAAGCTAGACTACTCAGTTCCAACATTTCGGAAGTTTCAGAATATAAACGTTCCTAAAATCTCAATCCTTGGTTCTATTTCTTC